CGACAGTCGTCGGTACTGTGTCCTATCCGACACAATTGTATAAAATTCTTTGATTTTATTTTATTCGCGTCTCATTGTGCACGATGTTCCCTTCGGTCCTTTCATTCTTCTCGTGTACGCCGTTCCCTTCGTTCATGTAAAAACAACAACGAAAATAAAAAAAAAACTAATACGAAAAAAAGTCCATACTTAATGCCGGTCGATATCTTGTGTACAGTGTCTAAAATATGTGTGTTTATATAGAAATGCGACCAATATTATGTACAAAAATACACATATTATGTGCGACGACATGTGCACACTCATTTTGCAACAAACACCGGCTTTTCGTTCGTTTTCTCATTCCTTATGTATATTTACACGTTGTTTTTTTTCTCTTCATCATTCTCATCAACGGTGTATGCCTGCATGTGTGTGTTGTTGATGCCTTTCTGTTGGTTGTTTTTGTGTTTACATTTTGAGCAGAAATTTTTTCTTTTAAATTTCGGTACAGCTGCTTTTGAGTTGCATCAAATTGCTTTTGACACCTTTCTTCCTTCGGTGTGGTTGCTTTAATTTTTGATTTGCTTTCTGTCTCTCTCTCTCGTTGTGTCCTTTGGTTTGGCCTTACTTTGACCTAATCACGTAATATTCAGAAGAGAACAAAAAAAAACCAAACAGGTTCAATTGTATGTAAATGGGCCGCATCGAGTATCAAGTATCATTTCTTCTCTGTTAACCGTCGACCATTAAATATATCTTATATCCTGACCTTTTAACCCCTTTTAAAATCAAACCCATCACAACCAACGCTGTAAATTTATTACTTCTGTTTTTGAAGTGGATGTAATGAAAATATTTTCCACGAAAGAAAAAAAAACCATTAAAAATGCTCCCAAATTTATCAACGGATTTCAATTTTCCGGCGATAAAATCATGGCAGTATGAGTGAGGAAATACACCCGAATTTCATTAACAAAAATGCAACATTTTATAGGGAATGCTGGTGCAGCGATCAAATTACGCCAAATAGATTAGGTTTTTCCATAAAATGTGTTGCTGTGTGGGGTTTTCTCTCTTGCGCTGCAAAATTTATTTATGATAAAAAAAAGCTGCAACGAAACGCATCGAATCATGTTTTTCTACTATGTATTTATGGTGAAATGAGGATGAAAAAACATTGAGCGTAGCCAGTGGCTACCATTTACGCAAGCATTGAGAGAGTGAAAAAAAAAAACAAATCGAAAATATAATTTATAACATTCTGCCATGTTTAATTTGGCTTTTTCTGTTTTTAAAATCAGTGACGCTAGCAGAAATAAAAGTGTAATCGTCGATGTGGATGTAAAGCAAATAGTCAGCAACCAGGGAGATAAAGGGAGATAGAGAATTACAGAAATGAACGAAAAAAAACAACGTTATGATTGAATTGATTTGTGCGCATACTTTCCTTCCTTTTCGAACAAAACTGTGAAATCAACGACCGTTTAGCCCTACCTTGTGAAGAGCGAGAGATATAGTATAAAATTGGTTGGATCTCCTCTATAATTTTTTTCTCGTATACTTTTTCGATTCTGAATCAATAAAAAAAACAGGAGAGAAAAAAGTGGAGCCCAGTACTATACAGCATTTCAACACATATAGTCAAAATCACCTGCATTGCTGGTATTTGTCTGCTTCAATCGTCGGTATTTGTGTGTAATTTCCATCGTGAAATAATATCATTTTTATGTTTGACGGTTTGAATGCAGCAGCAACGGCAGTAGCTGCAGAGAGCCGAATAAAATGACAATAGAATCCCTCGAAATAAAAAAAAATGGGCAAAAATTATTTGGTGCTTGAAATTGTTTGGCGTCGAATAAAAAAAGCGAGTAAAATAAATCATAAAATCGTTGCTATATTTTGCTCGTACTGCCAACAGAAATAGCCAAAATCGACATGTATCGCATTCACTCTCTCTCTCTCACACACACACACACACACACACACACACACACACGAAGCAACCAACTGCTCGCGCGTCCTCACACACACAGAGACACACATCGATGGAAAATGTGTAACAATATCATTATTTTATTGGAATGTTAATGGCGTCGTTTGTGTTGTTTTAATGCAGAAAATATAACAAACGCGTATTTGTGCTCGCTTGCCGAACGATAGATTCGTATCCGAATCGAACGAAAATTCATCGTTACGCTCATTCTATCTTGCTCTCTACGTGTGCTTCCATCAACAACAACATCAACATCAGGCGCGCACAAACACACTCAATACACCAACCAACACAAAAAACGCCATGGAAAAACGGATATACGAACTGAGCACGGAAAATGCCAACGACAAATGCTACACCAAGCGAAATGGATTATGCTATGCTTCGGCATCGGCCAGTCGCTATGACTCTCTGCACTGCTTCTACATGCTGCTGGTGCTGGTGTGTTGTTGTGTGTTTCCCATTCGAAGAGCTTTGTGTCGGCGTTTTTCGGCGAGAGCTTATTTTCGTATTTTGGTGTGAAAGGGAGCATAGCTACAGTCAAATCGTTGTATGAAGCATAAAACACAAACGCATCCAAAACCGTATTCGTTTTGTGTCTGTGAACGTGCACGCGGCTCCACCTCTTTGGCATGGCATTTTCTCTGCCAGTACCATTGGTGGAAAATTATCGATCGCATCCTTACCAAAACAGATCACACTGCCATCGTTGTTGTATAGAAGTAAACGGCATTTGTGTGCTGCTTGCTCTCACTCTGACTTTTAATGTATGGGTGCTGCGCTTTTCCATTTCGGTGTGCGTGTACGTTGTTCGCATCGGTTCCGAATGTTGGCGAACAAAATATGTGTATATGAAAAGCTCACCAAACCAAATAGCATAGAGCACCGAACACACCAGAAGCTGTCTGCCTTTCTCTCTCTCTCTCTAGATTCCTCACTCTCTTGCTCAAGCTGAAAATAAAACAATGGCTGATGATGTCGACAAAGTCTTGATTGTTTCGCACAATGGCGGCGAACTATTAAATTTTTCAAATGAATAATGAGATAATAATTATCGTTTGAGTACACAAATACACACACTCACGTCGGCTGTGATTTTCATGCGCCTCACTTCTGATTTGTCTATTCCACTTCATCATCATCTTTGCCAATCAATCTTGATAAATGGACTAATGACACGGATAAGGAAACACCTTGCATATGAATCGAACCATCATTAAAGTGAAAATGTCATGCAAATGAATGCAAAAGTCAGCGGAGGCTTCGGATAACTACGACATAATGCATTCGATAAATACAAAAGTACGTTGCATTTTCATTGGATATCAAGTGCTCTTCGATTTAAGTTTGCTAACGTTAAACGTCGAACGACAAATGAGCTCTGAATTCTAGGCCAACAACTAGTTCGGCTACACAGCCAAGGCAAGACATTTGGTATGGCAATGTATGTGGCAAGCCTGCAAGCTTCGAAACATTTGATATGCATTTGGATTATTCATAATGATAAGCATGCAAATTGTAGGAAAATGTTATAGTTGGCGATTACGTTTGCAGCTGCTGCTGCTGCTGTCCAAATACGAGAGAAAGTATGGCGGCTTCAACGACCCCGAGATTGCTTTAATAAAGACACACACACATCGAGCAATTTGAATCAAATCGATTTTGGAGCCATGCAAGCGAGAACATCCGACATAGAATCGCTTTCGTTGATGGCTGTATCAATTGTATGGCAATTATGTCGTGTCAATTTCGTATACATACGTGCAACACAAACGCCAAGCGACACAAAATATGTGTGCACTGTGCATTGCAAATACGGAAAACGGCCGAACACTGACTCTGGCTCTCTCTCTCGTTCTCGCCATCTATACTATTTGTGTATGGTAAATAATCGAGAATTTTACGCGTCATTTTTCAACCGTATGCAATTTGTGCAGATTGGTTTTTACAACACTGTCGCTCTCTCTCTCTCTTAAACTTTCCTACTCATACTCTTCAGTGATTCTCACTCTCTCTCTCTCTCTATCTTTGTGTATGCGCATTTGTATGTGTGTGTTGCATCCATGGATGTGTGCGAATGTAATTTGCATTTTGATGTTGCCTGACTGCTGCAAAACCAATTTTCGGCCATCGATTCATAATTTATTTATAATAACAACAACATTGGCAAACAATGGCCGTTCGATTCGTTCCATTGCATTCCAAAGTGTATGTTTAGCACAGTGAAATTTACGACAACAACGAAAACAGCAGCAACGACAGTAAACGGCTATGACGATGACGATGGAAGAGTTATGCAATCGCATCATCAATTAAATTCCATTCAAACGTTCATTTCCATGCATATTCTTTCGATTGCATTTTAAATTATTTTCGTTCATTTTCTTTCTTTGTTCCTCATTTCGTTCTATCCGCTTCGGTTCGTTTTTCTTTTCTTTTTTTTGCTATTTTCCCTCGATTTCAGTTTCTCTGCCTTTTCACTTTATAATATTGCAATGAGCAAAGAAGAAGTAAAAGGCAAAAAGCGCGTTTTACCAGTTCAGCCAATGAATAAATGAGTTGGTTATTTCTTTGAATATTCTCGTTCTGGTTGCAATGTTAACAATTTAGCGAAAGCGTGCAAGTGAGTTAATAGAATGTACGAGCAACGGAACGAGTGAATGAATGATGAAATACTTACGGATTGTGTATTGTACTCGTTTTTCCGAGTCGTTGAGAAATTAATCGAAATAAAATTGAGAAAGGGAGGGAAAATTCGATGCTATTACGGAATATCAAACCACTGCAACAACAACAATGACAAAAATGATGAGATCATTTGAGGTTTTTTTTCTCTTAATGTAGAACTTGTGATGAATGACATTCCTTATATAGTCGCTACGAAAATTAGTTGAAGTAGAGCGAATAGAATAGAAAAAAAAACAAAACTGAACCTCTTTGCCATTTCCTCCTTTCACCCAAAAAAAAAAAAAAAAAAAAAAAAAACAAACAAAACGCAAACACACGAATCTGTTCGAAAATGTAGAATGCGGCACGAATTCACCCATCAATGAGTTCATATCCACCACCGCCTCCGCAACAGAATCAATCTGGCCAGTTGGGACCAGCAGGTGCAATGCAATATTCACCCTATCCACAACGGTATCCGACACCCCCAGGCAGCGTAGCCACCGGAACGAATCATCGGCCCGCTTATCCGGCATCACATCAGGTAAATGAATGACAATTTTTTTTTATAATTCTCTCTCACCGGTTCACTTTATACGATTAGCTGAAATCATAAGCCGTTGGCACTTTTAATTTGCTGGACCATTTTTGATGCTAATTTTTTTCTCTTTCTGAAATATTACAATATGTTTGTTTTTTCTCGTCTCGCTCATTTTAACAGTATCCGACAGATCAATCGAGACCTTGGCCACCGCCGACGGGGCCAACGGCTCAAACGACACACGGACATGCACCTCATCAACATCCACCTTCACCACAGCATCATGTAACCGCTCAAAGTCCAGTGCATGCTCCAAGTCCTTCGCCTCAACCACCACAACCATCTAATTCGCCGCATCAGGTAAACGAGAAAGACGAAACGTCTCTCACTTTCATTTAAAGAGTACAGAAAACGAAAGACAAAAAAAACCATATCAAACATGACTGTTAATCGCAAGTCACGTGAATATTCCCGATTCCGTAACGACACAGGAACAAAATGAATTATTTAAATGGCAAACAAAACAAAGCAAAGAAAATAAAAACGAAGACACAAACACTCCGACTCAACGAGAGAGAGAAGAATGAGTGTAACCGAAGCGCACGAGACAAAAGCCGTACTGATAGAACGCACTGTGTTACAAATGAAACGTAGAAAGTGAAAGGAAAAGAGAAAAAAATATACATCTCCGACGGATAGAACACATCTTATTATCATATCATATCGTATCGGCAGCACGCGTGTTTGTATACCGCATACCATCGAATTATATACTTGAAAAAACATATGTTTTGCTCCTTTTTCCCGGTTGTTGTTATTGCTTGCTGCTGTTGTTGGCGGCGGTGTTGTTTCGTTTGTTTTTATTTTTTCCCTTCGTTTTCGATTTCTTTTAAATGGGCAATATTCCGTTCACACGCATTACATCACTTTTGTGTATAATCTGCTATATTACATTCTATATATATACCCGATCCATTCCATATATTTTAGCGGTATCAATGCAAAGAGTGAGACTCTGTGTGCAAAAAGTGAAAAAAAAGACGGAACAAAACCATTATGGAGAAGCCGTAAATCGACATAGAGAGAGAGAGAGAGAGAGTGTAGACGAAACGACAAACGATAAAATAACTACGTTCAATGGTTGAATGTGTTTTCGGAAGCGCCAGTTCAATTGACGGTTTTGTGCACCGAGCACATGACTCTGTTATTAATTTGGCAATTTGTTGTTCGGTTGCTGTTTGTGTGTGTGCCCGCGAGTTTGTTATTTTTCGCTCTATCGTTCTCGTTTTATTTCTTCATTCATTGCATTCCTGTTTAACCGTTAGCTAGACATTCATTCAGAATCATTGACCATTGTCGCCTTGATTAATTTATTCCTTTTTTTTCTGTCTGTTTCAAACTAACACTCTTGATTATGTGTGTGTGTGTCGCTGTTTATAATACTTCAAAAATGAATTTTGATTTTCTTTTTTGTCGCTCATTGATTTATTATGGTCTTTTTTCGTCGATTTTGTTATCGTTTGTGAGACACAGTTTGACAAATGGGATTATTATGAACCGTAATCTAAAAATGATTAAGCGTCACTCAATCACTTTTGCACTGATTCCCATTGCAATAACAATAAAAATCCGCACAATATTTGCTTCCGTAAAAAAAACGTCAACAATGTCTACGCTCTTTATGTCATTACTGTTTGTTGTTGTTGCGTTGCGTAAAATGAAACGGTCGGGTTTGTTTGTTGTTTTTTTTTTAAATTACGTTATCGCCTGTGCATCATCTTGTCATTGACATCGAAACCGATGCAACTGTAAATCTTGTCGCCGCACATGTGCTCTCTCTCTCTCTCTCTCTCTCTCTCTCTCTCTCTCTCTCGCTGTGTGACTCATGGTCTAAATAATTTTGTTTACATTTTGTCCCCAATTTTGACACACTTCGGAATTAAACACCGGCTACTGTAACCAGTATATATTACAGTATATCACTGTGAGGCAGAATTTCTCGCTCTTTGCCACAACAGATAGTACACGCACACGAACATAAACACAACAATAAGGTTACGCACTATAAACGGCAGCCGGTATACGGAAATTTCATGGAAAATTCAAAATGCGTCCATTGAAAATACACTGATTCAACCACGTTCAAATTTCATTTCTGTAAAGCCGGCATATCTGCGCCTTCTTCACTCTCTCTCTCTCTCTCTCTCTCTCCCTCTCTCTCTTTCTACATCTCTCTTTTGCTTTCGTAATTTTTTTTATTCCTCACATTCCTTACACTTGTGTGTATTAGCAGCACAAAACCCATCGCGCGTGTGAGTCATGCGAATCATTCATAGAATCCGTTATAAATATTCCATTCATTAAGTATTTAGGTATAAATTATCCCTTTTGTGTGCTTTGCACCGTTCACTCGGTCTGTCAATTCATCGTGTATCGCATACATTCGCTTGTATACGATAAAAAAATTTTAATCGGCCCGAATGAATCGAGTCGACGGTATATCAGTTTGTTTGGGGCTTATTTTTAATGTTGTTGTCATTTAAGATCCAAACAACGTACCGCATTTGAATTTGGGCAATTTTCCAAAAAAAGATCTATATAAACTCGTTTGCATGTGTGTATATAGAAAGAAATAACAACAACGACGACGACAGTCGGGAAAAAAAATGCACCGAAAGTGTTTTGTAAAATAGACAAGCGGCTTTGGCTTGAGGTACGAGACTAGCATATTTGGTTCAAATTCGTTTTGCCCAAGCGAAAACCCATTTTTCGCATTGCGTATGCATGGCTAAAGTATGTTTTATGTGGCATTCGTTTTGTTGTTGGTGCTTCCTTTTTGCGCTTTGGTTTCGTAATGAATGTTTATCGCTTGACGTGAGCGCTCTATGAGCACATGGCATATAAATCGGACAATGACGATGCCGACGGAAACACAGAGCGAAAGAAAAAACAGAAAATAAAAACGAGAAAGAGAGATTCGAACGAGGAAAAACAGTGGAATCGGTAAACAATTAGGCAACGTGTTAACCTTATCAAAAATGCATACGCTTTTCACACCAAAATGGCCCGTGAATCATCAATGCTCGTATCCCATTACGAATTCGGTGCGCCGAAATTTGCCATTCTTACATATTTTCTAAATTGGGATTTTATCTTTAGCCGTATCACGCGTCTCGTGTCCAATATAAATAGAAATGTGTGAGTGAGTGAGAAAGAGACGTAGAGATAGAATGAGACTGAGATAAAACAAGTAAATATTAATTGCAAGTACGATGTGGTCGACACAGCAAAGCGATATGACTGAATTAAGTGTATGCAGTTCAATTTTGATGTAGTTGGGTGTCGAATCTTGTTTGAAATCTATTCGCATTTCAGCACGTGTGTATTGAGCCGAAGCATTGTTTCGCATTAATTCCATGATCGTGCATCTTTGCACACAATTTGCATCGACATGATTTTGTGAGTGTGTGTGTGTGCTGTGCATTCGTTCATCGACAACGTTTCAGGCATGCCATACGCCGATGAAGAGTTGAAGAGGAGTCGCACCGAGCCAAAACTATAGCGAAGTTTACATTTATTAAAAGCATGTGCTTTGCATTCGTATCGTTCTCATCGCTATTTCGGCAGGGTCATCGTAGGTTTATATTTATATTTTATGTAAACATTTTCCTCTGGCAATGTACCCGGTTCTTGAAATGAGACGCACATCAAAAGCACAACAAATACAACACACAAACACACAAATGGAATGCGCGCCAAATTGCTACGTCTTTCGTTGTTGCATGTTGATTTCGGAATTTATTGCGAGAAGCAAATTTGCACAATTCTTAGCAAGAAAAGTAGCACTGAAAATCCTTATCGTGAGGCAAGCGAGCGAGCGAGCGAGCAAACACTCATATGCACCGCAAAAAAAGAAATCCATTCATTCCGTTGCTTGGCATAAAGATAAACACGGTGATCCTTTAACATATAAAATTCATAAACACGCTCATTCAAAGTCACCCAATCCTAAGCGAACGAAACATATCCATTTATCCAAAACGCAGAGAATCAACAACATTTTGCATTGCGTTTCTTGTTGCTTCTCTTGATGCTGCAACAGCAGCAGCAGCTTCCAAGATTAAATGAATAAAATACAAACGTCTCGATCGGTCACCCGTTTGTTCCCTTTTCTTTTGGTTTCGTCTCTTATTTTAATCTGCGCATTTTATACACGAGAAAAATCGCCAAATCAAAATGCAAACACATGAGCGCACATTTTCTACTCCACTTTCCAAAGTGATGCGTACGTGCACAAACAAAACACACGCGCTTAGTCTTTATCGCATTTTTCTTTTTCGCGCTGCTGCCATCACTTTAAATTGCTGTACTTTTGCGTTTTTTATGAATGTACGTCTTGTTGGTTGCAAGTATCTTCAACAGAACCATTTCTCGTGACTACGCGAATATTTTCTACTCCCCCCAAAAACAACAACAACAACCAAAACTTTTCTTTTCATTCAACTGTGCATGCCCTGACGGCAACAACAAACTCTGTAACACAAACGGAAATGTAAACATTGCAGAATAGTTCTGACGTATGCTTTGCCGGTATTTGTTCTTTGTGTGTTGTTATTGTTGTTTTTTTTTTGCGTGTATTTCAATCGTTCAGAGCCATTAGTCGTTCCGATTAATTGATCTTTCTTTTCCCGTGGAATAATTAACGAAAAGCCGGAGTTCGATAAACGTGCGCACACCGTGCAAAAGTAATATTAAAAAGAAACGCTCCAAATTAGATTGATTTCGTCGTCGTCGTTGTTTGTTGTTTTTGTCGTCATCAACATCGTCAACATATCGCATGTATGGACTGGTGTGTACGTAATTACCGTATACAAAAAGAGATCAAGTTGCGGTGCTTCGCTTCACTGAAACGAAAAGTGCATACCAGAGAGGGGAAGAAAGAGAGAAAGAGAACGAACGAGTGACTGAGCACAAAGTCAAAGCCGAACACACGAAAAATTTACTGTCAATGGGGACCGCGTTCAAAGCATGCAGCGAATATTTATGTTTTATTTTTTAAAAAAACTATTTGCCAATGTCGCGTGTTTGCACCGCACCAACATTCAGCTTTCTAGGAATGGCAATTCTCGGTGCCGGTGCGAGTTTGTGCGGCGGCAGCGGCTGTTTTTTTTTCTCGCTATCTCATTCTTGCTTCTCCTTTGACTACAGTTCAAATGACATGGTTTCCGAATTAATGGTTTTATTAGCATTTACCAAATGCAAAATATACGATTTAAGAATTGATATTTCTTTTTTTGCTGCTGCTGCTGCTTTCTATCATTACTCATGCACTCGCATTCAGGTATTTTTGTGATAATGCG